CTTAAAACTTTTTATAAGAAATTCTCTGCCACTACTTTTGGACTGCCCTAAGTATATATATAATCTTCAAATGTGTGCAATATGTACAGTACGAAGTGTAAAGTGACTTTTGGGACACTCTGTATATATATTCCTCTGCATGTTTCTCTTACTTTACGTCAACTTCTTTGCTTATTCAAATGTGCTCATAGACTTCCTTACATTATATCATATATTTCTATCCACTCTTCGAGTTTCTTAAACGGAAAACATTCCAGCGCAAAATAAATTTGATATGCTAGCTTTCTCATAATAATATTACTTATAAATTTCTCTGTTCCCAAAAAAATTCTCAACCTTTAATGTTTGTAAAAATTCTGTAAAACATTAGTCTGTCATTACTTCTGTTCATCTTCTCTAACAAAGAGATAACATACATATGAAACTATTTGAAATGTTCATCATTTGTGTATTCTCTGCGAGTATTAAGCTTACAACTTCTCTTCCTGAGCCACTATCTAGAGACAGTATTGAACTGACCAAACAAATAGGTGATGTATCAATTTAGGACTAACGGTTGAATCTGATCAACCCATTCAAACATAAGGATGTTAATGCTGCAACCTGCTCATACCTTCTTGATATATGATCCTGTAAATCTCATCGAAATTTTATCCGTTATTTACCACAATTTTCTAGAGTTTTTCATGAACCATTTTTTGAAACTGTACAGAGTGCATGAGAGTCGAAATGTAAATATTATTTTTAATGAATTTCAGAAGCCAATAACTCTGCAAGCAATAATAAAAGCATCCAAATGCTGTCCCAGAAAATTGAACTTCTTGCGAAAAAGGCCATGAAGAAAATCGTTAAAAAACGGTTGACTCTACCAGGGCTAGAGAAAATTCAGTTGCATATAACAACTATGGTATATCCTTTCAGCCTGTTCAATTATCTGCCAATGAATGAAGATATCAAAGCAATTCTCTTGTCGGCATTGGTTTCACATACTAATCATCCACAACAACATGCCTATCTTGGATTTGATGCCTATCAAGAAAATTGTGATGCCGATCAGAAAACCACTTATCTTCAGCACACATTTGATGCTCATGGTACAATACATAGGCAAGAATTGATCGTTCCATGGAACAGCAGAGAAAATAGTAGCTCAACAAATTTGATAATTAATATTACTGATTCATATAACACCGGACATTATCTGGATCGTGGAAATCTCAACTATTTTCAAATTGAATTAGTTGGGTATATTATATGATTTCATTGCATGAATCATTTCAGAATAAATAAATGAATTCTATTGCTTTATATTGATATTATTGATTCTTATTTTATTTTCTAAACTGTCAGAAATAAAAATGGAACACTGAAAACAAAGATTTATGCATATTTGATTTCTGAAACGTGTTGGAAAGATTCAGATGTGGATGAGGGTACTAATAAGGATGTATATATTCTTTTCAACCCATCTCCATACCTACACCCATTCTCTCAAAGTCAGTTGTCATATCAATTAGCAAATCAGAATATGTAGCGGAGTAATAAATCTTCAAATCTACAATTACTTATAAAAGTGGCTGCTGATCATGTAGTCAAGGAAGCAAACACCTGGCAAATCAGTAATAGAAGTGTGGGTGGGTATGTTCAATCAGTGTGTTATTCTCATACCATAGTCTGAAAGTCTGATATTTTTTCTTCTTTTGCAATCCAACTAATTTAGTTATGCTTAAGAATATGAAGGACATTGAAGCAAAAAAAATAGTAGAATTGAAATCAATCACATAGTTTCACTCGTGTACGTTATACCGATTACAAACGATGTTTTTTTTTGTGAAAATATGTGACTAAAACTCTTTTAGCTTTTATCATTCTCATGTTTAAGCCATGCACTTTCTGGTTGAATTCTTTGTTCTAATACATTATGTTTACTAGTCGAAGCTAATACTGACGCGTAATAACACATTTTAGTTTTATAATCAGGAATATCTATAAAAGAAAACAAGAATGAGTTGAATCAAGAAATGATGGTTTTGTGCAATGTATTCTTAAGAATCGATCTAATTTGAATTGACATTCTTAAGCATTAACATCCGTTTTATTTTCAATAAACTTCAATAAACAAAACACAACAAAACAAAAAAATAAGTGAAATAAGATAAATTTACAAATGGTTTCGTCCTGTGTATTTTGCCTAATACAATGAAAAGCATTAACTCCACAAATGGCTGTTAGCACCGTTTGAATTTGTTGTACTAAACGAAGATAAAATCATATTTAAGAAGATGATTATAATGACAATTTTTATCTACATACTTTATCATTTTCACCAATCCATAAACTCAATGAAAGGGGATCTTCATTATTGATCTGATAAGTAAAATTATCCATATTGCTTTCTCTAAAACGTTTCACATGTTCCATTAACCATTCATGTGTCACTTGAATTTGATTGTTGGTATCAATATGGGTTTGATCAATGTAAGATGGACCAACGTGCAATGGATCAATATTATGTGGCTCAATGTCAGGTGGGTCAATGTAAAAGAAACCACTCACCATGTTCTTGAATTGATCAATTAAAAATGGAATTTGACTTTTCGAAACAATTGAAACACTCAATCGTTCTACGCGTGGAAAAAGTCGAGACCACTTGTTTATATCATGACCTGGATAATCTGCATATCGAGGTAAACACAATACTCGAACTTGTTCCAGAGAAATATTAGTAAAACACTCGTAACTCAATGGCCAACAGAGACCATTCAGACTAAGACAATTAACACAAGGCATTGCTTGTTTAATCACAGTCATCAGTGTCGAGAGTGAGGGATCAGAAGTATCTACAATTAATGATTGTACTTTAGATACGTCGATGATATTCTGGTACATACAAGATGTGTCGATAATAAGTGTCTTAACATGATTATAACGATAAGGTAAATACCGTAGATTCTCTTTAACCCTTAGTTCAGTAACACGGTCGTAAAAAACCATATGTTGTTCAATAGGTAATGTTGTAAGATTCGGTGACACTGGAACAAAGGAATGCTTAATCGAAGTTGGAGCAAAGTAAGGTACAGTAAAGAGACACGATCCACTTGAATCATAAGCAATAAACCAGCGTTTATCGAGCCAAAATGGAGAACGAAACTGATCAAGTTCATATTGACCAATGCGCCAAAAAGAAGAAAATTTAAATTCAAACGTTATGAGTCGTGGTAAATGTTCAGTAATAAAATTTTCCCATTGAAAAGCATCGAGCAATTGACGTTCTGCACCACGGACAATAACCAGTTCCAGTCGTCGTAAACACTTTAATGGAGCAAGAAATCGCTCGAGATCAATACGAGTTAGTCTTGGACCAAAAAAAATGAAAAAGAACATTTAATATTGTTTTATATGACCTTTATACTCACGATTTGCATCAATAGATAGTGACAAATAAACGAGAGCCGATTTTGTTGGCTGTTCTTGATGAAAATTGGCTAATATGTTGATATGTTGATTATTTAAACATTTGAATGACATTTTAAGTGAAGTGAGTCGGGTAGCTTGGCGAAGGATTTGTTTTAATTCCGTGCTGGGACAATTAGATAACGATAATTGACGTAGTTGTTCAAATGAAATCCTAGCAATCAATGGTTTAATATTAAAATACTCACATGATAGAATATTAATAGTGAGACTTTTTAGTGGTGGTATGTTTTTAATCAATGGAAGATCAGTTTTGACGTCGATTTCAAGAGAAACAAGATGTTGAACATTGTATAAATCAAAGAATAATAATTCACGATTGTCATTCAGTTCGATTAATTTTAATGCACGTAAACGAGTAAAGTTTTTCATTCGAAAGATCGATAAAAACGATGAAGATTGATAGGGTGTATCTGTCTTATCTGACAGGATTAACGAAATCACTTGTTCTGGTTGAATAAGACGGCACACAAGATCGAAGTGAGATTTACGAATCGATTCGAAATTAATCAAGAAATAATCATAGTGCGATAGAACATGATTAAAATAATAGGTGATATTATGAAATGCATATAGAATTTCATGAGCCCATAAATAATTAAAAATTATATAGACAATTTCGACTGGAAGTTGATCGAAAAAGAAAGACATGATTATCTAGAAAACATTTAATAAAAGTTTACTAAAGAAAATAATGATAAATCATGTTTATTTGGTTGTCCTGTCTTCAATATGAGTGTGACCAAAGATGGACGAAAGCTACTCATAATGATGTTTAGTGTAAATTATTCAATTTACAGAACTAGAACTGTAAACTGAATGAAGAATATAAAAGTATTCAGATCTGGCAAAAAAAAGGTCTTCTAAGAAATGTCAATAGTTAACGTATTCAAATGATCTATTGCCGGCACTTTAGCTCAATCTAAATCGGAATAAAGAGAGATACATTTATGAATATATCTCATTTTCTCATCGAATCAAAGTACATTTTTACTCAAGAAAATTTTCTTTTTCTCAATATTACTCTTTTGCTATAGAATTTTAACCTAGATTCGATTGTCAATCAATTTTCATCATGACGTAGGAACTTGTCACAAGATAAACTATATTGTATTTCATTGGCGCATAAGTTCTGAGAGTTTGGATCAGTAGAATAATATCACCAATATAAAACTACATTTTAAGGAAAGTAATTATATATTCTGATAGCACTCGGAATTCTCTATCACCCTGTGTATTTAAGTCTTGACTTCCATTTATTTGCTGAAAAATAGTTTGAGTACAGTGAAGACACCCTCGCCCTCAGATTCCTACAAACTTCATTTTTTCTTCTTTTCTCATGTGTTTTTAAAATTTTTATCTATATAGTAATCCGTTTTTTAGAAAAGTAATTATATATTCTGAGAGCTCTTGAAATGCTCTATTGCCCTGTATATTCAGTTCTTGACTTGAACTTATTTGCTGAGAAATATTTCGAACACTGTCAATGCGGGTGAGGGTGTCTTCATTGTATTCAAAATACTTTTCAGCAAATAAATGGAAGTCAAGACTTAAATACACAGGGTGATAGAGAATTCCGAGCGCTATCAGAATATATAATTACTTTCCTTAAAATGTAGTTTTATATTGGCGATATTATTCTACTGATCCAAATTCTCAGAACTTATGCGCCAATGGAATAGTTGTCATGAATGATTCTGTATACTATCACAGGAGATCATCGGTAGTCGATAGTGGTCACATGGCCTTTTTAATCTCTGAATTATATGAATTATTGAAACTGATAAAAAACTTTTTCAAGATTGAACTGAATGAACAATAGAACAAAGAAATTCGACATTATTCTTCTCTCTGAACATGTAACAAAGATTATAATAGGAGTTTTGCACGATTATTTCGCGGTGAAATATTACAATGCTGATTTCGAGATCGATGCCATTATAATTAGTTCTCAAATAAAACTTATGAACGATCATTGGTTTCACAATGGAATTTCGAAGGCGGAATCGATGATGAACTGATCATAGCTGCTTTCACAAATGTTGACAGGACCGATGAAGTTTTTCACTCGACTATTGATGGTTAGGGCTTCTTTGAACCTCAGAAGCTCTCAGTTAATAACGGTATACGCCAGAGAAAAATGATTTTAGAATGTATGATTCTTATTGAGTGAACTAATGAAATACAGGAGCGAGGGATGAAGTCATTTATAGTGCAAGTAATAATGTATATCCGTCGTCGATGCCAATAGAAAGGTCAAATACATAACTACCGATATCAAATTTATGAGTTAC